CCTACAGGAATAGGAAAGAGAACTAAGGAGTTCAGAGAAGGGTCGATGCCTTAGATATGCGTGGTTAGGGGTCGGCGCAACAATTTGAGTCCTTGGGTACAAAGGTCAAGGGTAGAACATCAAGTGCCGTAGAGAAGTGTTGAGGCCCTAGGTACAAAAGTCAGGGGTCGATACGACTCGAAGGAGTAAGCCTTTGAGAAACAAGAAAACAAACTAGTGAATTGAGATGAAATGATGGGTTTGGCATGTAGGTTGCATGTTCAGATATGTTTATATTTCTATTATGTAAAGCATGATGATTTGTTATGCATGTCGTTTGAACTTTCTGTGATAAGCATGCTGTTTGTGCGTGACCCTTCAGGTATGTACTGCTTACTGGGTACCGTGGTTGTACTCACCCCTTATTTTCTCACCATATTTTGTAGGTAACAGGGTTACTCTTTGCAATGGTGGTGGCGAGGAGGAGGCTTGATCGGAAAGACCATTAGTTGTGCTGCGTGCACTTAACTTCTTTTAGTTCGGATAGTTACAGCTATTCTATCTTGTAGTTAAATTGTTAATGGTTGGTTCTGTTTAGTTTTATGGGTTAAAGGATGTTTTAAGTTGTCAGCTCACTGCTCTTTGGGGTTATTAGTTTTGTTTAGCTTTTCGAAGTGTGGGGTTGTAATCTATTAAGAATAATTATTGATACATTTGGTCATGTTGATATTCAATTAGCTTTTACTTCGTTGCCATTCTAGATCTTAATATTCGTTTAGTGGATAGTTTATGGTTGCTAAAGTTTTCTTTTAGAAGTTTGGATAAGTTGAAGTTATTATTAGATGGATTATCTATAAAGGATTTGAGTTTTGGATAAATCTTGAGTGTTGTTGGTTAGTTTGTTTAAACACTTGTAAATGTTATTAAACAGAGTAGCGCAACGGAAGCGTGGTGAGGCGAATGTGTGGTGGTTTTAATTCTCTAGTACGAGTGGTGCTTTTTAGGTAGTTTCAGTAACGGTCTTGGTTTGAAATGTTGAAAATCCTGGGGCGTTTGGGGCGTTACAAGTATTCTTGTTTGCATAAGACTCAGATTCTTTGAGCATCCAACAATCATATAGAAGATTGCATTTCCATTTCACAACAGATTCCAAATTGAAGTAATGAAAAAAATAAGAGAATTGTTCAAGCAATGGGAACATCCAAGTGAGCCGCGAGTATTTAAGAACGCAACCAGTCATACCCAACTCCACATTTTAATAAAAGTTGACGTGCTAGGGATAATTTGTGTAATATCCATCTAAAATTCTCACAATTTACATTCACCCTACATTTCATATTAACTGAATTTAAAAGTAGTCTAAAAAAAACACTAAATTTCTTTCCCAATATCACTAAATGAGTATTAGCTGATGAATCATATAACCGGCGGTCTTGAAAATAACACTCTATGCTAATGTAGCGCGAGTAGATGAATTAATTTGAACTTTAAAATAAAGACTATTCTTCTATCTAGCATACCCAAAACCAAACTATACATGCACACACCAAAATTGACAAAAATAATCACATAAACGAAAAATCATAATTCACAATTTACAATCTGTAGGTCTCCAGATACAAAATTCATTAAAATAGAAAAAAATAATAAGTGAAACAATTACCAGTTTGCGTAGCTTCTTGATTAGAGCCATTGGCTTTCTTGTCAAATCCCTTCGAAACCTAAAACAGAAAATTGAGGAGAAGGGTCAAGACCAGGAAATAAATCATTAAAAAAGATTACCATATTTCATTTGAACTACCTTGTGCTAGCCGCCACAGTGAAGAGCTTGACTAGCTCATTTGTGGAAATGTTGAGGATAGCATCCAAGTCGACTCCGTGGATACTGAACTTCTTGAACGTCATCTTTTTTGGCCCACCTGCTGCTTCCAAATCGGGATTGTCATCCACCATGGTTGGGGTCTAGAAATCGAAATATGGCCTAGGGTGAGTGCAATTACGATTCTGGCAGCTAGGACCTTCGAGTGCCCGATATGAAAATTTTGAAATTCTTAAAAATAGAACCCTAGATTGCAAAGAGAAATCCCAATGAAGAAAAAGACTCACAACTACAAAAAAGAATGCATGTGAAATCTGCTGAAGTTGAAGCTGAACGAATAAAGAAGAAGATTGATTGAGTGCGACTTGAAATTGCGAATGAAGAACACGATGCTGCAAACGAAGAAAATCCCAACGAGGAAGAAGAACGTGTGCCAGATGTGATTAATAACAGAAAAGGGTGAAATTCGAATAGTTAAAATTAAAAAAATAAGAATTATGATTTTTTGCTATATTTGCAAATTTAAAAACAAGTTGACATTTTTTAAATATACAAAAAGTTTTAGCTACCCAAAACAATTTCCCTATATTTTATTCTTGTTCGTATCATTAAAAATAAAAAATATATATATATAAATAGAAATAAAATATTTCATTACAAATAATTCTTGGATTCATTTTATTTATTTATTCATACAATTATTGTGTGAATTCAAACTGACGATATTTTAATTTAAAATAGGTGTCTTAAAAAATTGGGATGTGCCCAAATGATTCTTGGATTATTTGTTATTGAAACGGTTGTTTTTCTACATATCCAACTTGTGTTATAATGAATATGCGTTATTGCTTTATAGTATACTTCAACCAAACATTAAACTAAGTTTAATTTTTTCACTGCTTAAACTTAATTGTTGAATAAGATTTTGTTAGTCTCTAATTGCATATATATGTTCTTTGTAAAACTTAGCTAAGTCACTAAATATTTTTTTCATCCAATAAATGAATAATTGCATTAAATTTGTCTGTTTTCCTGAATTGAATTTACCATTCTTATTTTTCCTTTCTTCTTCCTTTCGATGAGAAGGAGAGCTAAATAATAAAAAAATGATATAAATTTAGAAAATATTAATGTTAGATCCAAATAGAAAATGTGTTTCTCCCAATAAAGCAAATTTTGTGGAAAAATGAATTGTTTGATTCTATATCATAATTGAATGCAAATACATTTAACCAATTATATTGACAAAATAAAGTAAGAGATAAAATGGGTATATATATTAGATGATAACCCTCATTTTAATATCAAAAAGTGAAATATCGAAAAAATGTCAGGTGCTTCTTGGCCTCGTTATCTCCCTTGTGTTAGTGGTACTTGCACATACTCTTCCTATTGCACTTTGGGTTTAGGTTAGTATTTTTTGTGTCTCTAAAATTAAATATCTTTTGTTTGATTAAGAATCTAAAATTGGGTTCATACACGGTGTAAGTTTAGATGGCCAGAACTACTTGGAAAGAAAGAGGGAGTGGCGAAAGTAGTAATTGAAACCGAAACTCCTTTTGTGACGGTTGTTTTTATTAGACCCGGCATGGTTGGACTCCCTAATTTTTGTTGCAATCGTGTAAACGTTGTCCGTGATACGGGTGGAAATGTCTCTAGTGTCCCATTCATTGGTTGACAAAATCAATGGAAAAAAAGGTGACGTCATGTCATAGCTACAGTTTGTTTGTTGTACTGAGTTGTATAAAAAACTATATCTTAAAGTTGAATAAATGCATTTATTTATTTGCTAACATTGTGTTTGCTTATGGTTATTAGAACAATATATTAAGAAAAGAAATAAGAGATGATCCCTCCTACTGAAATTATTATTGAGTTATATTTTTTCTAATTTGAGCTCTATTGTATAGGGAAGTTACCTTTATTTTAAAATTCAAGTAGTTAGTTTAATACTTAAAAAATATATTCGATAAGATGTCGAAGATAATTTTTAACATTAAAAAGATGTAAAATAAACTTTTAGAGAGAATTACAAAAATATCACAAATGAATAAGGTTTAAATTTAACAAAAATGACATAATTTGCAAATTTATACAATCACACGAGACCAACTAAAACTCACTTTGTGACATTTAAAAAAAAGTAATAAAAATGAATGATAATTTTATAAATACATATTTATTTTATGTCATTTAATATACTTTTTTTCCAAATTTAATTATCAATAATTTTTTAATTTAGTTTTTTTTTTGTTGAAAATCTTGTATTATTACATCTCGTCCCTCAGTCTATTTGGAGAAAGCACTCAAGCTTGTTATAAAAAAGTTGAAGTGGTGTACCAGATAAAGAAACAATTAAAATCACTTGCAATTCAAGGTTTTTTCGAGACTTGAACTTAATGTTTTTAGTTGTCACTCTAGATACACTAGTCTTTCAATATATATAATTTCTAAAGTTAGTTCCCACTTAAAGTTGGAGTGGATGAGATCTTAAAGTTTGATGTTGAATTTGGGGGAAGATAAAGTAAAGAATGTTGTATTTAAGAGAAATTTAGTTATTTTCTCTTTATAACAATATTAGTAACAAATAAAGATTCTTCTCATTTTAGTAAAACAAACTCAACATCATTAAAAATGTCATTAAAGTAATTAGAAGAGATAGGAGAAATATGATTATAATGATTTAAGTTTCATCATAAAAATCATCTTATCTAAAGTCAAACAAAGTCTTATCTCTTAAAAGGAAAAATGAATGTCATAAATAATTTGTTGAAACAAAAAACAACGAAGATATTTTACATTTTGTTATATTACTTTTAAAAGTCAATGTTAACAAATATAAGGCTCATCTTATTGTTATGGTCTCAATTCTTAACGCTGACATTAATTTTTAGAGATGTTTTCTATGACTTCTTCTTTCAAGTAAATGACAATACTTAAAACTTTTTTTTTTGTGTAAGATGAATATAAATATTGGTTTCTTAATTGTATCATTTATGAAATCAATAAGCTTATATATTTTAGAGACTTTTGATCTAGTAACTCAAACTTTCAAAAGGTTTACATTCATTTGAGATCTCAATAAAGAATTTTTTATCTGCGATTTCATAATATTCATTACATGGTGATATTATGACATGTAATATTGGAAGGTAATAAGAATAATAATTATGAATTACAGGTTTAGTGGGATTACATTTATTTTCCTAGTATAATATGTCTACGACATAATAAAGGCTTTGTTAGAGGATAAAAACTTGCATGAACATATCTCTTTTATATTGTGAAATGATATTGTAAGATCAATCTCAAGTAACATTGAGAATTCACACAAGAACTATATTGAAAGGTATTGCAAGTTTTCTAGCATAAAGATTTATGCACTAGGGGATATTGAAATCACTATTGGAGACAAGTTCACTTTCAATAGATCAGGTCCCTCGAATAATAAAGTAAAAGAAAAAATTCATGCTTAAAGTGTACATGCTTCCGTTGCAGTATTCATATCAAGAATGAAAGGTAATTTTTGATAACTCTTAATTGGATCTGAAGAGTTCTAAGGTGTTTAATAAAAAAAAAAGGTTACTGCTCACTCATCAAAATCATATTAATTAGAGATCATAAGACTATTTGATTTTGATAATTTCAGTTGCCATCTAGATCCATCTTTGAGGCTATATTCACTAATAGGTTAAAGGATACTACTATCACATGGTAGAGAGTCGCTTTAGTCTCTTTCACCACTAAAGTCTGTGTTCATAGCATTTTGTATGTGGCAAAAAACTTAAGAATATGGTTGTTAGATTTTGTCATTAGGTTGTTTTGACAAAGATTTGTATTTTTTCCATATTGCAACAACAAAAGCCTTTGTATGAATATTTAAGCTTTAGTTGATAAAGAAAATTCAAAGTATCTTTGTTTAAAGAAATGTAACTCCATCATTGTGGATCCGCTCATTAAGGACTTTTACAAAAGTTTTACAAGCATAATGGTCATATAGATGTGAAAATTATGGTATGCCAGTTGAGTGGGAGTTTGTGTTGTCTCGAATTAGACATGTGGTTTTTTTCTTTTCTGCAGAATAAATAAGATGATTTATTTTGTTACTCTGAATAATTTTCTTTCTAAATGTAGTTTAACATAAAGCTAGGAAGCATAAATTTCGATCTCTTTAAAGAATAAAGTTGGACCAGTTTGAAATAGACATGTTTAGATCACATAACATGTAATTCTCATGCTGCTCTTCCACACTTTGATCCATGACATTGAGTATATTTGGTGTGGTGATCATTGAAGGTTGAGTCACAACTATACATGTGACAAAAGTCACTTTGGTTCCTCATCAATATGAGAGATGGACCGGATTGATATTAAAGGGAAATTTATTTTAATAGCATTGAGTTGTGCACTAAAGAATAAATTAATATAATTGCTAGTAAAGAAAATTGTTACCTAAGTGAGAGATTGTTGGCATTAATTTAATAATTAATTCATATATGGGTGACAAATTAAAGAGTAATTATATTTGGGTTATTTAATGGGCATATGAGTGATCTTAATTACGGGCACATGACCTCCCATTGACTGGTGTGACTTGCTAAGTAGATACTAGCCCATTAATCTTAGGGATTATTGGAAACCCTAGGATTAACTTATAAATATATGGTTATGGTCCCAATGCACTATGTAGCCTCCTGTTTCCATCAACAAAGAGTATTGCCCATATTTGGTCCGGGTTGAATAGTTAAGGAAAGCCACAAAACCACAACTACTTACATGTCAGATCAACCTATTAAAGGTTCCAGGTAATTCTAATGTTATTAAAGATTTTGGTTTTCTTCCATGTTTAGATCCGTAGTCTTGATTGTTATATAATTATATGGCTTTTATTCTAAAATAATTATGAATGAGGATTTGTTTAAATTTTGCAACAAGAACTTCAGTAGGGAGTAGATAAGTATGAAGCAAACAACAAGAGGGCAAAAATCTTGAGGTTGAGAGTCTTCTTCATAATGTATGTCGATTTCTCACGAGTTGTTGTTTAGGGGAATGCACCTTACCTTCGTTATAGTTGCTCTCTTCTTAATATAAATAGAGAGAGAGACTGATAGAGTGTGAGGTCTCCCTTAAGTCTAGCATCCATAGGCGAGCGGCACTTCGTGCCAGCGGACTTTGGGGACCACTAACATCCTTTGCTTCCCACTGTCTCAAAGAACAAGGAGAGTAACAATGTCGTGAGTGGTCCCCTAAGGTGCATCACAATTTGGTAGAAGGTGTAAGCACTCTGCATGCTTGTTGTCCTCCGTAAAGGGTGTTTAAGAATTCGAGACTCTATTTTTGGTGTGCTCAAATTCACTTCCATGTGCTTGGATATACTGGATTCTTT